AGGAGAAGCAGAGGCTGTCTGAAGAGGTCTGCAACACCATCCTGGATCACACCAAAGAAAGGTTCTCTTTCTCTGGCCACCTTGTGAGTGCTACCTTACTGCAAGCAGACATGTTTGAAAGGTACTGCCATTCAAAAAAATAAAAAATCTGTTCATGTTCATTTTTACAAATCTATACAATTGGCCAGAATATGGTTGTTCATATTTACAAATCTATACAATTGGCCAGAATATGGTTGTTCATTTTTACAAAGCCATACATATTGTTTATGCAGTGTTGAGGAATGTGAAAGAACACCCTTGATTATTTTTACTGTGATAACTTATTTTGCTTTTGTAAGCCAACACTTTTGAGATCAGTCAATAAATGCTTCTGGTATTGACTTATACGCTGCCCCTGTCTTCATGTTGTTGCTGGACATATCTTTTTAAAAATGTGTGTAGGTCACCTAAATCATCAGAAAAATTGCCCCTCCTGAGAATTTTTTCAGGAGCCGCCACTGTGTAACCCACATACAAATTAGCATAGTTAGGAGCCATAGGGGATCCCATAGCTGTACCCTTCGTCTGAATGAAGAAATCATTTAGAAACATAAAGTAATTGTGTGTGAGTACTATTTCAGCCAATGTTATAATGCATGCACTGGAAGGTAGTTCATTAGGGTCACGTTGCAGAAGAAAATGTTCCATGGCTTCAATACCGCCCTCGTGTGGAATATTCGTGTATAACGAAAGTAACTAACAAGGTATTATCAGGGAGAGGATCAAGAGATTCAACAATAGAGATCATACTGCTGGTGTCCTTTACAAAGGAGGGGAGCTGTTCTGCGAGAGGTCTAATAAAAAAGTCAACATAGGTCGATAAAGGGGCTGTTACTGCATCAATGCCTGCTACAATAGGGCGCCCTGGAGGTTTTGTAACATTCTTGTGTAATTTCGGCAAAGTATAAAAAGTAGCAATTTTAGGGTGTTGAATAGCCAAAAAATCGTGTTCTTTTTTGGTGATTTGACCAGAACTTAATTACCCATCTAGGACAGAACAGATAGTGTTCTGAAATTGGGAAGTGGGGTCACTTCTGAGTTTCTTGTAAAAGGTATTGTCAAGCAGTTGTCTGTGACACACATTTACATAAACTGTCCTATCCATGAGTACAACTGACCCACCCTTATCAGCAGGGCGGGTAAGAACTGACATATCGGATTGTAAATCAAGCAAAGCTTGTTTTTCATCCTTGGGTAAATTTTGAAAAGATATGTACTCCTGTTTGTTCTTAAGGAGATTACCAACATATTTTTCAACGAGTCTGCAATACGTCTCAATAGAGTGATTGCGATTGGCTGGAGGTACAAAATAACTCTTACTTCTGAAAGGAGTCGGAGTATGTGCAGGTGAGCCACCTACATGTTCAGTTGAAATATCACGATTAGGGGAGCTGAAGTATTCCTTTAAACGGATGTTTCTAAAAAACTTAAACATGTCTACATTACAGAGCATATGAGCGGAGTGGAGCGGGAGCGAGCGTGGAGCGTGAGCGGACGGATTTTGAACAGAGCGCAGAGCGGCATTTTTAAAAGGACGGAGCATCGCCCTATGTCCCGCTCCAATTTCGCTCGCTCACACCACGAGTCTGAAGCATGCTCAAGCCTGACCCAGAATCCATCTGTTTAATTTAATTTGTGTCGTCCATGAATTTGTATTTTATAGAGCAAGAGGAGCAGCAGCAGCAACAAGAGAAAAGGGTTGAGGAATTCAAAAGTTTATTCACTGCACGCAAAGGCCCAACCATAACAAGGGAGAGAAAAAGAGAGCTGGATGTAGCATTTTTCGAAATTATTTTCATGGACTATGAACCGCTGAGTAAAGGAGAACGCGAAGGGATGCAACACTTCGCCAGCGCAGCTCAACCGGGCTACACCCCCCCAAGAAACTATGATAAATCAGTACTTTACTTTGTCAAATTTACATCTGAGATGCCCCATTCACATGCTTCAGCTGGCGTTCAAAAACGCCTTTAACGAGCACGACAACATTAATAGGCTGTTAGTGAAAGTCGGGCACCTGGTGAAAAGTGTATGCAAGAGCACAGATGAAACCGACCAATTAGGTGTCCGCCCCACAAATGCCTGCGCCATTCGATGGAGCAGCCAGCTGCGGATGATTCGTTCATCCGGTTGTTCCAAAAAGACCCGTTATGGCAAAACAAACTCAAGTCTAATGTTGCTAACATCACCCTGAATCAAGTACGGCAGCTGACGCACCTTGTCAGTGTGCTGACACCACTAGCAGATCTCACAGACAAAATGCAGAAGGAGCTGGGGAACCTGGGGATGATCCTCCCTGCTGTCACAGAAATCAAATCCCTGCTCACCGATTACACTCACGCTGCACTTCCAATGTGCATCGCTGCTTTTGCAGAAACATTGGCAAACAACGTGTCAATTCGCTATGGAATATACTATACTGATTAACATCTCATTTTAGCGTCAGTGTTAGATCCCCGTTTCAAGACAGAATGGATAATCCGGGGAGATAAAGTAAGGCTGTGGTTTAAGCTAAAAGTGAAATACATGCAGATTTTGTTCCTTTTTTGGAGTGAGCGGGGGGCGATTTGAGTGGAGCGCGATGCAAACTGCGTTGAGCGCTGAGCGATAATGAGCGGACTGGCCTGATGTGGCTTTGAGCGGGGGGAGCGGAGGGGTGAACAGCTCCGTGAGCGAGGAGCTGAGATTCTCACCGCTCCACTCCGCTCATATGCTCTGCTACATTAACATCAAAATCGTTGCACTGAGTTGTAGGCACAAAAGATAACCCTTTATTAAGTAAGGAGACATGGGCAGGACTCAATATCTTGCTTGATAAATTAAAGACGCTCAGTCCCGTGGGTTCTGGGACCGTGTGAACGGCCCCCTCTGCCTCTGGTTGTCGTTTCTTCTTACCCCGTCGTGTACGGCATCTCGTCGGTGCACGTGACCGCGGCCAACTCCGCGCTTCCGTCGGCCCAGTCTCACGTTGGATAAAAAACTGGCACTGGAAGCAGATGAGGTGCTGGTTGTAGAGCGTTGGTCAGACGGGAGTGGATAGAAGTTAGCGGCCCCCCTCCTGTGTCTGTCATGGAGAGGAGGAGCAGGACTTCTTTTGTCAGGGTTTCTCCAAAAGTAGACTTTGTCCTCGGCCTTGTCATTTAGGACGACGTCGATGGCTGGAAAATCAACGGCGTACTTCGTCCTGAGTCTTCGTCTTCGTCTCTTCTTGGCTCTTCAGTCTAGTCCAGTCGCTGAAGATAAAGGGAGGCTGATTGAGGGGAGGCATCCCCTCTTATAGGGACACCTGTACTCCTATTGGCTGCAGGTGTGTGCATAATTTTGTCTCAGGCTGATACTGCCTTAGGGCTGTGGGTAAACCAATAGGAGCAGAGCTCCCCTATGGGGCGGAGCTCCACGATATAGAACATCGATTGCTTAAAAACAGATCAATATCATTGGTTTTGTACCGTTGATTTTGTCATACGTGCTGGCGGTCTTACATGCTGACTAGACCGTCGCGCATGAGCGCCATCGCGCGCGTGTTGATTTTGTCCACCCACACCAGACGCGATCAGGACACGCAGGTTGAAATATCAAAACGAACTCTGAACGAACTATATTAATTTGGGGACAGGTTGAAAAGCATTAAACATTTATGACAATTTAGCTAGCTAGCTTGCTGTTGTTAGCTAATTTGTCCTGGGATATAAACATTGGGTTGTTATTTTACCTGAAATGCACAAGGTCCTCTACTCTGACAATTAATACACAGATAAAAGGGTAAACTGAGTTTGTTTCTAGTAATTTCTCCTCCTTCAGGCTTCTTCTTCTTCTTTGGACTTTATATGGCGGTGGGCAACCAACTTTAAGGTGCATTACCACCACCAACTGGACTGGAGTGTGGACCTCAGTTAATCTTTCAATCACCCACGTGGGTATATGCTCCTAAAAACCAATGAGGAGATGGGAGAGGCGGGACTTGCAGCGCATCAAGCGTCACAAATAGAACCAAGTTCTATTTTAGCGCCTGGCTACGCAGACGCGCACGAGCAGTGTGGTTGCAATGATTGAATAACATGTATGTGTACATTTATTTTGCAATACATTTGTGGTCAGCATGTTTAAGATTTAGAATTATACTATCATTTTCAAACTGAAATGGCAGGGAAAATTTGGGCCGCTCTCTGTATAAAATTGCTGTCCTTACACCTATACGTATATTTGAGAGTCAAACTATCACTCAAATAACAGCCAACCGTTGTCACTGTTGATATCCTATGGCGGGCCGTGATTTGTTGAAAATAAATAACAAAGCAACTGATTTGTTTCCTTCCCCGTTTCGGCAGCCTCCCAAAACTTCCATTCGACATTCTAGAATTTAGATTACTGTCTTCAGCAAATTCTCTTCTAACCAGTGATATGACAATTATTCTCAGATTCAGTGTTGCCTTTGAACAGTTCGTTTAAACAGTGCATACATCCCAAACGTTTCCATCACTCCAAAATGAAGCTGGTTGTCTTCAGCAGGTTGTCCTCTAACGAGTGTCCAATAGGATTCCAATAGGATAGAGGTGATTCTATTGGACTACTTTTTTAAACATATTGGATCCTATAAGATTCTCGCAGTCCTATAGGATTTTGTATCACCTCTATCAGAATCCTATTGGGCACATTTTTTCTCCTATTGTAAATAGAAAAGTTATCCGATTGGATCCTATAGGATTTTGTCACCCCAATCAGAATCCTATTATATTAACACCTTTGACTAGGGATTAGTATAATAAAATACAATTTTCCCATTTTTTGAGCATACAATATAGCTCAGTATTTGTATTATTTATTTTATACAGTCTTTTTTGCTCATCTTTATCAAGGGTACCAATCATTTTGTAGGTGACTGTAGATAATTCATGACCATCTTCTCTCTCTCACGCACACTTCCCCCCTCTCTCTCTCTCTCTCTCTCTCTTCATCAGACATTCTTCAGGGGCAGCACCACTTTATATCAGAGAATGAAGCTCTACATCGAGGACATGTGGAATAAGTGTGACATCACGGCAATCTCACTCTTTGCACTGGGAATGTGCTGCAGGTGTGTGTATTTAGATATACACTGAGTGTACAAAACATTAAGAACATTAAGCTCTTTCCATGACAGACTGATCAGGTGAATCCAGGTGAAAGCTATGATCCTTTATTGATGTCACTTGTTGAAAATCCACTTCAATCAGTATAGATGAAGGGGAGGAGACAGATTAAAGAAGGATTTTTAAATTATGAGAGAATTGAGACATGATTGTGTATGTGTGCCATTCAGAGGGTGAATGGGCAAGACAAAATATTTAAGTGCCTTTGAATGGGGTATGGTAGTAGGTGCCAGGCACACCGGTTTGAGTGTGTCAAGAACTGCAACGCTACTGGGTTTTTCACGCTCAACAGTTTCCTGTGTGTATCAAGAATGATTCACCACCCAAAGGACATCCAGCCAACTTGACACAACTGTGGGAAGCATTGGAGTCAACATGGGTCAGCATCCCTGTGGAATGCTTTCGACATGTTATAGAGTCCATGCCCCTACGAATTGAGGCTGTTCTGAGGGCAAAGGGGGGAGGGGTGTAACATGTGTTTATGTTTATGTGTGTCGATGTAAACAATACTTTTTATTTATATTATTATTTAAAATGTATGTACCGGTAGTTCTGTCCTTGAGCTGTTCTTGTCTATTAATGTTATGTATTATGTTATATTTTATGTTTTATGTTTTGTAAATGGACCCCAGGAAGAGTAGCAGCTGCATCAGCAACAGCTAATGGGGATCCTAATAAATAAATGAATATATGGATTGTGTGTGTGTGTGTCCCTGTGACTATAACCAGCTGTTTGTTGTGTGTTCTAGAATGTTCCCGTGGTCCTATGAGTTTGGCCGTGCTGTGTTGGCTGTGGACTACATGGTGTTTACCCTCCGTCTCATCCACATCTTCGCCATCCACAAACAGCTGGGACCCAAGATCATCATTGTTGAAAAAATGGTGAGGGCTTTCTAAAATAAAATAGAAAACCCTGTGCACTGCAGTGCGTCTAAATAATAGACTTAGACATTGCGTCGTTGTATCTGTCTCATTATGGCATCTGTGAGAGCATGGACAGCGCCATTGAGGCCATCTATATTTTAAAGTAGTCAATTTTCTTCTTCTACTTCTATGAGTTGGCAAATAAACTGAAAGGGTGCCAAAGATGGTGGATAAATTAAGATGAACGACTCCACCATTAAAAAAAATTTTTTTTCAAGGTTCCTGTCTGTGTAAGTGGGTGTTCCCTCTCTCGCGTGAGAATGCTTTCCTGCGTGAGCTCACGGTTCCTCTATAATCTCTGGGATGCTCACACAAGAGAGGGAACAGCTGGATTTGGTCTACTTATTGTCCCCTCCCCTCCCCGCTCGGCTCGCCCCACCCGCCCTGCCCCGACATATGAGATGTCTCTTTTCTCTACCTCCGCGGGCCGGGGGCATTAAGTAGACCAAAGCTGCCCCGCCCCGTTCAGAAAAAATAAGGGAGTGGGATGTCTCGCTTTATCTACTGTCTCTGAAGGTGCATACTGCCACCTAGAGTGTGTTGTTAGAACAGGTATAAAGCCAATGTTTGCGATTTATTGCCACCTGCAGTTATGGAATGTTTGCTCATAAGTATAATTGGCTAGGCACTCCTGATGACCTGCATGGAATCATGTGATCCTTCCTAAACCCATAGGAAGTCCCACCCAGTTGACTACTTAAAAATTGTGAAAGTCCTTAATGGCGCTAGCCATGCTAAAATGGGCTTTTGGGCACTAAAGTAGTCTATCTATCGCTATGGTCTAGATTTAGGTGCTGGTTTTGGTAGTGACAACTAGTATCCAAAAGAAAGTGTCAAAACTGCACACTAGCAAAAACAGGTGATGCCATTTTCCCCGATGAATATTCTGTTCCCCTCCTGATTGGCAGATGAAAGACATCTTCTTCTTCCTGTTCTTCCTGGCGGTGTGGCTCCTGGCCTACGGCGTAGCCAATCAGGCGCTGCTCTACTCCTACGACCCCCGTCCCGGTTGGATATTTCGCAGAGTGTTCTACAGGCCGTACCTCCACATATTTGGACAGATCCCCATACACGAAATGGATGGTGCGTTGATGTTTGTGTACGAATGTGGTTTGCATGTGCATGTAACATAGTATATTCTCACCTAGATATCATAAAATGAATGCACTAACAGTAAATTGCTCTGGATTAGAGAGTCTGCAGAATTAATAAAAAAAATTATACAGTGGGGAAAAAAGGATTTAGTCAGCCACCAATTGTGCAAGTTCTCCCACTTAAAAAGATGAGAGAGGCCTGTAATTTTCATCATAGGTACACGTCAACTATGACAGACAAAATGAGAAAAAAAATCCAGAAAATCACATTGTAGGATTTTTAATGAATTTATTTACAAATTATGGTGGAAAATAAGTATTTGGTCAATAACAAAAGTTTCTCAGTACTTTGTTATATACCCTTTGTTGGCAATGACACAGGTCAAACGTTTTCTGTAATTCTTCACAAGGTTTTCACACACTGTTGCTGGTATTTTGGCCCATTCCTCCATGCAGATCTCCTCTAGAGCAGTGATGTTTTGGGGCTGTCGCTGGGCAACACAGACTTTCAACTCCCTCCAAAGATTTTCTATGGGGTTGAGATCTGGAAACTGGCTAGGCCACTCCAGGACCTTGAAATGCTTCTTACGAAGCCACTCCTTCGTTGCCCGGGCGGTGTGTTTGGGATCATTGTCATGCTGAAAGACCCAGCCATGTTTCATCTTCAATGCCCTTGCTGATGGAAGGAGGTTTTCACTCAAAATCTCACGATACATGGCCCCATTCATTCTTTCCTTTACACGGATCGTCCTGGTCCCTTTGCAGAAAAACAGCCCCAAAGCATGATGTTTCCACCCCCATGCTTCACAGTAGGTATGGTGTTCTTTGGATGCAACTCAGCATTCTTTGTCCTCCAAACACGACGAGTTGAGTTTTTACCAAAAAGTTCTATTTTGGTTTCATCTGACATTCTCCCAATCCTCTTCTGGATCATCCAAATGCACTCTAGCAAACTTCAGACGGGCCTGGACATGTACTGGCTTAAGCAGGGGGACTCGTCTTGCACTGCAGGATTTGAGTCCCTGGCGGCGTAGTGTGTTACTGATGGTAGGCTTTGTAACTTTGGTCCCAGCTCTCTGCAGGTCATTCACTAGGTCCCCCCGTGTGGTTCTGGGATTTTTGCTCACCGTTCTTGTGATCATTTTGACCCCACGGGGTGAGATCTTGCGTGGAGCCCCAGATCGAGGGAGATTATCAGTGGTCTTGTATGTCTTCCATTTCCTAATAATTGCTCCCACAGTTGATTTCTTCAAACCAAGCTGCTTACCTATTGCATATTCAGTCTTCCCAGCCTGGTGCAGGTCTACAATTTTGTTTCTGGTGTCCTTTGACAGCTCGTTGGTCTTGGCCATAGTGGAGTTTGGAGTGTGACTGTTTGAGGTTGTGGACAGGTGTATTTTATACTGATAACAAGTTCAAACAGGTGCCATTAATATAGGTAACGAGTGGAGGACAGAGGAGCCTCTTAAAGAAGAAGTTACAGGTCTGTGAGAGCCAGAAATCTTGCTTGTTTGTAGGTGACCAAATACTTATTTTCCACCATAATTTGCAAATAAATTCATAAAAAATCCTACAATGTGATTTTCTGGATTTTTTCCCCTCAATTTGTCTGTCATAGTTGACGTGTACCTATGATGAAAATTACAGGCCTCTCTCATCTTTTTAAGTGGGAGAACTTGCACAATTGGTGGCTGACTAAATACTTTTTTCCCCCACTGTATATTAATGGTTTCTCTCTCTCTTTCTCTTTCTCTGTTCTTTCACTCCTCTCTCTCCCTGTATCCCCTCTCAATCCCTTACTTCAACCACTACCCAATCTACCCTCTTTACCCTTTTAAATATGTATTTTCACACCCCTCCTCCTGCTTCTTCCCATCCTTTCAAACTCTCCCCTTCTCACTGTCTCCCGCCCTCCTCTCCCTATCTCTGTCCTTAGCTGATAAACTGGAGGAGGGGAGAGAGTGCACCAATAATGCCACCCTGGTCGAGGCGGGAGCAGAACCCTGCATGAGTACCGACCACAATTGGCTGGTGGTCATCTTATTGGTCATCTTCCTGCTGGTCACCAACATCCTCCTGGTCAACCTGCTCATTGCAATGTTCAGGTAATGTACCCTCTCTCTCTGTCCCTATTTCTCTCTCTGTCCCTATTTCACTCTCTGTCTCTCTTTCACTCTCTCTGTCTCTTTTCACTTTGATGAGTGTTGAGGAGATTATCGAGAGATACCTTAGAGATGTATTAATTCTCGAGACATTATTGTAATATTACTCTCAAGTAGCCATACCTCCAAATCACATTTGCTGTCACGCTTCCTGCAGAATTTTGTATAGCCAAAACAGTTTGAATCGTCTGCTGATTTTTATTAGATGTTACATTTCAAGAACCCTCGTAAAGCCTGGTTCTAGACGAGACTACTGTTTTGCAAATTCCTTACATCTAGAGCGCTACCTCCTGAGGTCACACACAACACTAGCCCGACAGTTGCCCCCTTCCAGACAGGGCAGTGTAAACAGAATTGTCTTGTTCTGACCAACACTCCTACAGTATAAATCGTAATAGCAGAGCATTTCTTCATGTAATGATTTTCATGATATTGATTAAATGAAGCATGGTTTGTTCTAAGGTAGGCCGAAAACCAATCCAGTTATACCCTATGAAAGTCCTGCCTACTTCCCTTATATTCGTATTCCTGGATTAGTTGACTTCTTACCTGATGCCTTTAATGAAAGATTGTTTTCATAATCGAAAACCTTCATAAAATACATCATTTACATATTATGTACAGTGCCTTGCAAAAGTATTCATCCCCCTTGGCGTTTTTCCTATTTGTTCCATTACAACCTGTAATTTAAATATATTTTTATTTGGATTTCATGTAATGGACATACACAAAATAGTCCAAATTGATGAAGTGAAATTAAAAAAATTACTTGTTTCAAAACATTCTAAAAAATAAATAACGGAAAAGTGGTGCTTGCATATGTATTCAACCTCTTTGCTATGAAGCCCCTAAATAAGATCTGGTGCAACAATTACAGTGGGGAAAAAAAGTATTTAGTCAGTCACCAATTGTGCAAGTTCTCCCACTTAAAAAGATGAGAGAGGCCTTTAATTTTCATCATAGGTACACGTCAACTATGACAGACAAAATGAGGAAAAAAAATCCAGAAAATCACATTGTAGGATTTTTAATGAATTTATTAGCAAATTATGGTGGAAAATAAGTATTTGGTCAATAATAAAAGTTTCTCAATACTTTGTTATATACCCTTTGTTGGCAATGACACAGGTCAAACGTTTTCTGTAAGTCTTCACAAGGTTTTCACACACTGTTGCTGGTATTTTGGCCCATTCCTCCATGCAGATCTCCTCTAGAGCAGTGATGTTTTAGGGCTGTCGCTGGGCAACACGGACTTTCAACTCCCTCCAAAGATTTTCTATGGGGTTGAGATCTGGAGACTGGCTAGGCCACTCCAGGACCTTAAAATGCTTCTTACGAAGCCACTCCTTCGTTGCCCGGGCGGTGAGTTTGGGATCATTGTCATGCTGAAAGACCCAGCCACGTTTCATCTTCAATGCCCTTGCTGATGGAAGGAGGTTTTCACTCAAAATCTCACGATACATGGCCCCATTCATTCTTTCCTTTACACGGATCAGTTGTCCTGGTCCCTTTGCAGAAAAACAGCCCCAAAGCATGATGTTTCCACCCCCATGCTTCACAGTAGGTATGGTGTTCTTTGGATGCAACTCAGCATTCTTTGTCCTCCAAACACGACGAGTTGAGTTTTTACCAAAAAGTTCTATTTTGGTTTCATCTGACATTCTCCCAATCCTCTTCTGGATCATCCAAATGCACTCTAGCAAACTTCAGACGGGCCTGGACATGTACTGGCTTAAGCAGGGGGACTCGTCTTGCACTGCAGGATTTGAGTCCCTGGCGGCGTAGTGTGTTACTGATGGTAGGCTTTGTAACTTTGGTCCCAGCTCTCTGCAGGTCATTCACTAGGTCCCCCCGTGTGGTTCTGGGATTTTTGCTCACCGTTCTTGTGATCATTTTGACCCCACAGGGTGAGATCTTGCGTGGAGCCCCAGATCAAGGGAGATTATCAGTGGTCTTGTATGTCTTCCATTTCCTAATAATTGCTCCCACAGTTGATTTCTTCAAACCAAGCTGCTTACCTATTGCAGATTCAGTCTTCCCAGCCTGGTGCAGGTCTACAATTTTGTTTCTGGTGTCCTTTGACAGCTCTTTGGTCTTGGCCATAGTGGAGTTTGGAGATGTGACTGTTTGAGGTTGTGGACAGGTGTCTTTTATACTGATAACAAGTTCAAACAGGTGCCATTAATACAGGTAACGAGTGGAGGACAGGAGCCTCTTAAAGAAGAAGTTACAGGTCTGTGAGAGACAGAAATCTTGCTTGTTTGTAGGTGACCAAATACTTATTTTCCATCCTAATTTGCAAATAAATTCATTAAAAATCCTACAATGTGATTTTCTGGATTTTTTTTTCTCATATTGTCTGTCATAGTTGACGTGTACCTATGATGAAAATGACAGGCCTCTCTCATCTTTTTAAGTGGGAGAACTTGCACAGTTGGTGGCTGACTAAATACTTTTTTCCCCCACTGTACCTTCAAAAGTCACATAATTAGTTAAATAAAGTCCACCTGTGTGCAATCTAAGTGTCACATGATCTGTCACACGATCTCAGTATATATACACCTGTTCTGAAAGGCCCCAGAGTCTGCAACACCACTAAGCAAGGGGCACCACCAAGCAAGCAGCACCATGAAAACCAAGGAGCTCTCCAAACTGGTCAGAGACAAAGTTGTAGAGAAGTACAGTAAAAAAAAATCTGAAACTTTGAACATCCCACGGAGCACCATTAAATCCATTATAAAAAATTTGAAAGAATATGGCACCACAACAAGCCTCCCAAGAGAAGGCTGCCCACCAAAATTCACGGACCAGGTAAGGAGGGCATTAATCAGAGAGGCAACATACAGACCAAAGATAACCCTGAAGGAGCTGCAAAGCTCCACAGCGGAGATTGGAGTATCTGTCCATATGACCACTTTAAGCCATACAATCCACAGAGCTGGGCTTTACGGAAGAGTGGCCAGAAAAAGCCATTGCTTAAAGAAAAAAATAAGCAAACACGTTTGGTGTTCGCCAAAAGGCATGTGGGAGACTCCCCAAACATATGGAAGAAGGTACTCTGGTCAGATGAGACGAAAATTGAGCTTTTTGGCCATCAAGGAAAACGCTATGTCTTGCGCAAACCCAACACCTCTCTTCACCCCGAGAACACCATCCCCACAGTGAAGCATGGTGGGGGCAGAATCATTCTGTGGGGATGTTTTTCATCGGCAGGGACTGGGAAACTTGTCAGAATTGAAGGAATGATGAATGGCGCTAAATACAGGGAAGTTCTTGAGGGAAACCTGTTTCAGTCTTCCAGATATTTGAGACTGGTACGGAGGTTCATCTTCCAGCAGGACAATGACCCTAAGCATAGTGCTAAAGCAACACTCGAGTGGTTTAAGTGGAAACATTTAAATGTCTTGGAAAGGCCTAGTCAAAGCCCAGACCTCAATCCAATTGAGAATCTGTGATATGACTTAAAGATTGCTGTACACCAGCGGAACCCATCCAACTTGAAGGAGCTGGAGCAGTTTTGCCTTTAAGAATGGCCAAAAATCCCAGTGGCTAGATGTGCCAAGCTTATAGAGACCCCAAGAGACGTGCAGCTGTAATTGCTGCAAAAGGTGGCTCTACAAAGTACAGTGGGGGAAAAAGTATTTAGTCAGCCACCAATTGTGCAAGTTCTCCCACTTAAAAAGATGAGAGAGGCCTGTAATTTTCATCATAGGTACATGTCAACTATGACAGACAGATTGAGAAGAAAAAAATCCAGAAAATCACATTGTAGGATTTTTTATGAATTTATTTGCAAATTATGGTGGAAAATAAGTATTTGGTCACCTACAAACAAGCAAGATTTCTGGCTCTCACAGACCTGTAACTTCTTCTTTAAGAGGCTCCTCTGTCCTCCACTCGTTACCTATATTAATGGCACCTGTTTGAACTTGTTATCAGTATAAAAGACACCTGTCCACAACCTCAAACAGTCACACTCCAAACTCCACTATGACCAAGACCAAAGAGCTGTCAAAGGACACCAGAAACAAAATTGTAGACCTGCACCAGGCTGGGAAGACTGAATCTGCAATAGGTAAGCAGCTTGGTTTGAAGAAATCAACTGTGGGAGCAATTATTAGGAAATGGAAGACATACAAGACCACTGATAATCTCCCTCGATCTGGGGCTCCACGCAAGATCTCACCCCGTGGGGTCAAAATGATCACAAGAACGGTGAGCAAAAATCCCAGAACCACACGGGGGGACCTAGTGAATGACCTGCAGAGAGCTGGGACCAAAGTAACAAAGCCTACCATCAGTAACACACTACGCCGCCAGGGACTCAAATCCTGCAGTGCGAGACGTGTCCCCCTGCTTAAGCCAGTACATGTCCAGGCCCGTCTGAAGTTTGCTAGAGTGCATTTGGATGATCCAGAAGAGGATTGGGAGAATGTCATATGGTCAGATGAAACCAAAATATAACTTTTTGGTAAAAACTCAACTCGTCGTGTTTGGAGGACAAAAAATGCTGAGTTGCAGCCAAAGAACACCATACATTTTACATTTTACATCATTTAGCAGACGCTCTTATCCAGAGCGACTTACAGTTAGTGCATACATTATTCTTTTTTATTTTCATACTGGCCCCCCGTGGGAATCGAACCCACAACCCTGGCGTTGCAAACACCATGCTCTACCAACTGAGCTACCTCCCTGCCGGCCATTCCCTCCCCTACCCTGGACCAATTGTGCGCCACCCCATTGGTCTCCCGGTTGCGGCCGGCTACAGCAGAGCCTGGATTCGAACCAGGATCTCTAGTGGCACAGCTAGCACTGCGATGCAATGCCTTAGACCACTGCGCCACTCGGGAGGTTACTGTGAAGCATGGGGGTGGAAACATTATGCTTTTGGGCTGTTTTTCTGCAAAGGGACCAGGACGACTGATCCGTGTAAAGGAAAGAATGAATGGGGCCATGTATCTTGAGATTTTGAGTGAAAACCTCCTTCCATCAGCAAGGGCATTGAAGATGAAACATGGCTGGGTCTTTCAGCATGACAATGATCCCAAACACACCGCCCGGGCAACGAAGGAGTGGCTTCGTAAGAAGCATTTCAAGGTCCTGGAGTGGCCTAGCCAGATCTCAACCCCATAGAAAATCTTTGGAGGGAGTTGAAAGTCTGTGTTGCCCAGCGACAGCCCCAAAACATCACTGCTCTAGAGGAGATCTGCATGGAGGAATGGGCCAAAATACCAGCAACAGTGTGTGAAAACCTTGTGAAGACTTACAGAAAACGTTTGACCTGTGTCATTGCCAACAAAGCGTATACAGTGAGGGAATAAAGTATTTGATCCCCTGCTGATTTTGTACGTTTGCCCACTGACAATGAAATGATCAGTCTATAATTTTAATAGTAGGTTTATTTGAACAGTGAGAGACAGAATAACAACAAAAAAATCCAGAAAAACACAATGCAAAAATGTAATAAATTGATTTGCATTTTAATGAGGGAAATAAGTATTTGACCCCCTCTCAATCAGAAAGCTTTCTGGCTCCCACGTGTCTTTTATACAGGTAACGAGCTGAGATTAGGAGCACACTCTTAAAGGGAGTGCTCCTAATCTCAGTTTGTTACTTGTATAAAAGACACCTGTCCACAGAAGCAATCAATCAATCAGATTCCAAACTCTCCACCATGGCCAAGACCAAAGAGCTCTCCAAGGATGTCAGGGACAAGATTGTAGACCTACACAAGGCTGGAATGGGCTACAAGACCATCGCCAAGCAGCTTGGTGAGAAGGTGACAACAGATGGTGCGATTTTTCGCAAATGGAAGAAACACAAAATACTGTCTATCTCCCTCGGCCTGGGGCTCCATGCAAGATCTCACCTCGTGGAGTTGCAGTGATCATGAGAACGGTGAGGAACCAGTCCAGAACTACACAGGAGGATCTTGTCAATGATCGCAAGGCAGCTGGGACCATAGTCACCAAGAAAACAATTGGTAACACACTACGCCGTGAAGGACTGAAATCCTGCAGCGCCCGCAAGGTCCCCCTGCTCAAGAAAGCACATATACAGGCCCGTCTGAAGTTTGCCAATGAACATCTGAATGATTCAGAGGAGAACTGGGTGAAAGGGTTGTGGTCAGATGAGACCAAAATGGAGCTCTTTGGCATCAACTCAACTCGCCGTGTTTGGAGGAGGAGGAATGCTGCTTATGACCCCAAGAACACCATCCCCACCGTCAAACATGGAGGTGGAAACATTATGCTTTGGGGGTGTTTTTCTGCTAAGGGGACAGGACAACTTCACCGCATCAAAGGGACGATGGACAGGGCCATGTACCGTCAAATCTTGGGTGAGAACCTCCTTCCCTCAGCCAGGGCATTGAAAATGGGTCGTGGATGGGTATTCCAGCATGACAATGACCCAAAACACACGGCCAAGGCAACAAAGGAGTGGCTCAAGAAGAAGCACATTAAGGTCCCGGAGTGGCCTAGCCAGTCTCCAGACCTTAATCCCATAGAAAATCTGTGGAGGGAGCTGAAGGTTCGAGTTGCCAAACGTCAGGCTCGAAACCTTAACGACTTGGAGAAGATCTGCAAAGAGGAGTGGGACAAAATCCCTCCTGAGATGTGTGCAAACCTGGTGGCCAACTACAAGAAACGTCTGACCTCTGTGATTGCCAACAAGGGTTTTGCCACCAAGTACTAAGTCATGTTTTGCAGAGGGGTCAAATATTTTATTTCCCTCATTAAAATGCTAATCAATTTATAACATTTTTGACATGCATTTTTCTGGATATTCTTGTTGTTATTCTGTCTCTCACTGTTCAAATAAACCTACCATTAAAATTATAGACTGATCATGTCTTTGTCAGTGGGCAAACGTACAAAATCAGCAGGGGATCAAATAATTTTTTCCCTCACTGTATAACAAAGTATTGAGAAACTTTTGTTATTGACCAAATACTTATTTTCCACCATAATTTGCAAATAAATTCATAAAAAATCCTTGACATAGTTGACATGTACCTATGATGAAAATTACAGGCCTCTCTCATCTTTTTAAGCGGGAGAACTTGCACAATTGGTGGCTGACTAAATACTTTTTTCCCCCACTGTATTTATTTTGGGGTGGGTGAATAGTTATGCACGCTCAAGTTCTGTTTTTTTGTCTTATTTATGTTTGTTTCACAATAAAAAATATTTTGCATCTTCAAAGTGGTAGCCATGTTGTGTAAATCAAATGATACAAACCCCCCAAAAATCTATTTTAATTCGAGGTTGTAAGGCAACAAAATAGGAAAAATGCAACACAATAGTGTTGTTGGATTTAATTTAATTTAATCACCTTGTTTTATTTGAGTGTTGTCCTAATGGCATATGTTTTTCTGGCTCTGCTTTCATGTGTGTCAATAGGGCCCAAAACGTCATGAACTAAAAAGTATAATAAAACCAATATTGTTTTATATGAGCGAGAGTCACCTATTCCCTGATATTCAGCCTTTTCACTGTCTCTCTCTCTCTGTCTTTCCTCCAGTCACACGTTCTCTGAAGTGCAGGAGCACAGCGACAACTACTGGAAGTTCCAGCGCTACAACCTGATCGTGGAGTACCATTCCAGACCCTGTCTGGCACCACCCTTCATCCTCATCTCCCACCTCCAAATCTTCATCAAGAGACACATCCGCAAGATCCCCTCCATGAAGATCAAACACTTTGGTGAGAGATGGAGGGAGGGAGAGGAAAGGGAGGGAGTGAGTAGGGGAGGGAGAAAGGGAGACAGAGGGAGGAAAACAGGGCCGGCGCCAGAACGAATCAGTTGGACAGGCATTTGATTTCAATAGGGTGGCACGTTTTTTCACCGGACATCCTATGTATAAAAAATAAAAATCTTTGGTTTTATAGTAATGACATGTAATTTAACTGTAAAAATGTATTACCTTTTAATGTGGCATGAACACAACCAGTTATGTTTTCATCTGGTTGTCAAACAAATCACTTCAAAAAGTAGGTTATCTTCCCAAAATTATTCCAGCATCTGAACAGTGCACTGTGCACCCGCCAACTTTCCTTCAATTCGCAAGTGGCTGGAACTATCTCACCGGAGAAAGCATCAGAGCGAGCGCCCCTCTGTCTGAATATAGCCCATATATCTGATGCTGTCTGGCCAAAAAGAGTATGAGAGTATGACATGTCATACTCTTTTTGGCCAGACAGCATCAGATACATGGGACTACACTTACTGAGACAGAGGGGCGCTGTTTCGCTCACTCAGATGCTTTATCTGAGATTGATGCACCTTTCTGTCTTTGCGTGTCTCTGTCAAATACATTATTAATATTTTAATATATTGTTTGGACGGGCAAGGATATGCGGTAGGGACGGGCCACGCCCCCTAAGGGCCACCTATAACACCGGCCCTGGAGGAAGACCAATGATCAGATAATTCACTTAAGGTATTGAACGTCCAAGTATTTTAGAAGTCCACTTCCATTTTTCACATTTTCTCTTCTTCACAATTTCTTTGTTCTTCCCTCTCTTCCCCTCCTCTTCTGTCCCTCCTTCAGTTCTGGAGATCCATGGTAGGGAGGCCAGTAGACTGAACACAAGGGAGGCCATCCAGAAGGAGAATATAATGTTTGCCCAGAACAAACGAGAGAGAGAGAGAGACTCAGAGAGACTCAAACGTACCTCCGTCAAGTGAGACATCTCTCCATCTCTCACCTAGACTAAATGCCAGATTCATTTAACAGCTTCAGTTAACAGCTCGGCTTCTATCTGGCCTATGAATAGAATGGTTGAAATGCTGTAGCTGATGGGACCTCCTGTGTTAGGGATCGGGTCAATAACATTTTAAATTCATGAATCGAACTTCAATTCACTTCTTGTGTTAGGGATCGGGTCAATAACATTTTAAATTCATGAATCGTACATCAATTCACTTCCTGAATTGACTGAGAGGTGAATTGACCCCTAACCTGTGTTGTGGTCCTGTGTTGTGGTCGTGTTGGAAGGGTGGACAGTGTATTAAAGCAGATGGCAGAGATCCGGGACCACGACCGCAGGCTGAGAATGCTGGAGACCAAGGTCAGTGTCAGCCTGGGCCGCTGCCACTGGTCGCAGCTCACACACAGGCTGCAAACACCCTGCTTTATCTGCCCAGTGGCAACCAGACACACGTGCCAGAAGTTTCAGTGGTCCTAAATGGGCAGGATGGTTTAGTGGGTGTGTGTGGGGGTCTGTGTTCGTTAGTGTGTAATCATCAGTATGTGTGTCTGAATTTGGACTGCAGCTGTTGCATCTGCCTGCTCAGCACTGAACACACCACATCCGTCATGGTTCTCGCTCTCGCTCTCTCTTTCTCTCTCCGTCTCTCTCACATTCCCAGTTGGAGTACTGTTCTAGTGCCCTCTCCTGGATGACGGAGGCTCTCTCTCAGAGTAACTTGATAAAGACCACACGTCCTCCGCCCTCTCTCAGAGGTAAGGTTGCATACAGATATTTGTAATACATACAGTATATATGATATAGGTTACATATATGATCAATTTCTATGCAAGGTGGCCTCCTACCTCTCCAGTCAATTAATATAAAATGTACATTAACTTTATTGATCCCCAGCACATTTTATTACTTGGTTTTATGTACCAATTCCAGTTTCTGTTGTGTTTTCTCTTTCAGATCTGACCCCTCTCTCTCCAACTAGCTGACCAATGTCTGATGGAGAATAGTGAAATCTAGACGTGCACACACACGCCTCTTAGCTGTCCATCAATGTTGATGATGACAAATGTTCCTCTTGTGGATCAGGGGTAGGTGTATGTTATCGCTTTAAACACACACACACACACACACACACACACACACACCTACAAACACTGTCACTCAGGGCCAAAGAATGTCAAGAAAGGCCAAACATGGACTCGATGCTCATTCAGCCATCCTTTCAATGTCGTTTTTAAGCGTTGATCATTTGAACTGCTGCCATTTTGTATGTGGACCATTGTTGCTCTTCTATGTTACACTTTGTTGTTCCTATGTTGGTCTAGAAATCTTGTTCCTGTGGGTTATAGAATGGAAGGACAATCTGTTCTTAATGTAATATGTACAGTCCTTTTTAAAAGGTACAATAAAAATTACTCTACCCCCATAATGACATTAGCAAGTACAAACGCATTCAACCTGACACAATCACAAAAACCCACATTGTTTGTATGTTGCTTTTTGGTTTTGCACTCGAAAATACGCTCCAGTAGCTGTTTTCTGCAGTCAATGACCAAAAGCGACCTCTTTGGCCTCATGGGTGGAATGTTATTAATATTTTTCATAATTTCATAATTAATCAAGATAAAAAAATACAATAAAAATCCGGTGTTTCTATGTCAAACAATTTTGTTATATTTCAGTCTTCTGTGATGTATATAAACTGCAATATTGGACTGCAAACTCAAAATTGAATACATTTCTACTCTATATCTGACATGGTACAGGTGTCTCCTTTTTTTAAGCCCATAACCATGTGTGTGAGGTGTATACTTTTGTTTCAAAGTAGATATGTTTAAGACTACCAATAATCACTCTTGTGTGACCCTGATTTAGCCCACTGCAGTAAAAGGTTATGGGCTAGATTCAATCAGTTCTGCCTTAACCCGCGATAACCGGCAACTGCATAGTAGTTTCATTGTTTTTATTTAGGCGATGTCGGAGGTGTAACTCCGTTGGAGCTGTCAAATCAGCAAATGGCTCCCGGCATTATACCTATCGCGGACATTGCCATTGGATGTGCAGAGTCGCATTAGTAATAATCGCATGCAGCCTTGTTACAAGTTTGAACACTGGAATGTGTGTTGTAATCTACACCTTGGTAAATAAATATAAGACTAACAAAATATTGAGGATTTAAGTGTCATTATTTCTATGTAGCATACACTAGGGGTCTCCAACCTTTTTGCGAGCTACTCATTTTTTTCGAGCTTTCAAATAAGCACATTCTTCTCTTCTCCTCTCCCCTGCAACTCTTCCCCGGGTTCTTAGTGTACAAGATAACTGTTTTCTGTCAATATACCTGGTAAAATAATGGTTAAGAAACAACTCGAAGGGGGGCCTTCAGTTTCGTTTTTCCTGGTTTTAGATTTGTTTTGTTTTTCACTCTCAAAATTACAATTGTTCATAGAGAAACAACGAAATTGAAATGCTGACTCCGTGTCAATGATTAAACCACTTCAGAAGACACATTTGTTTTGGTCTGGAAGAAAACGAACACATAGATTTTTGATTGTAATCCTTTAATTGTGCATCTGGCCCTTTAATTGCTGAATCTAGCAAGTGAGGAATGTGCCATATAATGGGCCGGTCTTGCGATGGATCTGTAGGCTTACTGCTGCTGCTCATTTCATGGCAAAGTTAGCAAATAATAGATACAAATGATATACACTACCAGTCAAATGTTTTAGAACACCTACTCATTCACTATTCATTTTTACTATTTTTTATATTGTAAAATAATAGTGAAGACATCAAAACTATGAAATAACACATATGGAATCATGTAGTAAGCAAAAAAGTGTTCAACAAATCAAAATATATTTTATATTTCAGATTCTTCAAATAGCCACCCTTTGCCTTGATGACAGCTTTGCACGCTCTTGGCATTCTCTCAATAAGCATCACCTGGAATGCTTTTCCAACAGTCTTGAAGGAGTTCCACATATGTTGAGCACTTGTTGGCTGCTTTTCCTTCACTCTGCGGTCCGACTCATCCCAAACCATCTCAATTTGGTTGAGATCGGGGGATTGTGGAGGCCAGGTCATCTGATGCAGCACTCCATCACTCTTCTTCTTGGTAAAATAGCCCTTACACAGCCTGGAGGTTTGTTGGGTCATTGTCCTGTTGAAAAACAAATGATAGTCCCACTAAGCCCAAACCAGATGTGATGGTGTATCGCTGCAGAATGCTGTGGTAGCCATGCTGGTTAAGTGTACCTTGAATTCTAAATAAATCACAGACAGTGTCACCAGCAAAGCACCCCCACACCATAACACCTCCTCCTCCATGCTTTACGGTGGGAAATACACATGGGAGATCATCCGTTCACCCACACCGTGTCTCACAAAGACATGGCGGTTGGAATCAAAAATCTCAAATTTGGACTCCAGACCAAAGGACAAATGTCCCCCGGTCTAATGTCCATTACTCGTGTTTCTTGGCCCAAGCAAGTCTCTTCTTATTGGTGTCCTTTAGTAGTGGTTTCTCTGCAGCAATTCGACCATGAAGGCCTGATTCACACAGTCTCCTCTGAACAGTTGATGTTGAGATGTGTCTGTTACTTACGTAACTCTAATGAACTTATCCTCTGCAGCAGAGGTAACTCTGGGTCTTCCATTCCTGTGGCGGTCCTCATGAGAGCCAGTTTCATCATAGCACTTGATGGGTTTTGCGACAGCGCTTGAGGAAACTTTCAAAGTTGTTGACATTTTCCATATTGACTGACCCCCCCCCCCCCCCCCCCCTTTGAATGAGTAGGTGTTCTAAAACTTTTGACTGGTAGTGTATAAGGGGGATAAACCCTCCTAGGCACACACTAATGCCTAGTCTAACCTATAAGGGGGCTAAACCCTCCTAGGCACACACTAGTGCCTAGTCTAACCTATAAGGGGGCTAAACCCTCCTAGGCACACACTAGTGCCTAGTCTAACCTATAAGGGGGCTAAACCCTCCTAGGCACACACTAGTGCCTAGTCTAACCTATAAGGGGGATAAACCCTCCTAGGCACACACTAGTGCCTAGTCTAACCTATAAGGGGGCTAAACCCTCCTAGGCACACACTAGTGCCTAGTCTAACCTATAAGGGCGCTAAACCCTCCTAGGCACACACTAGTGCCTAGTCTAACCTATAAGGGCGCTAAACCCTCCTAGGCACACACTAGTGCCTAGTCTAACCTATAAGGGGGATAAACCCTCCTAGGCACACACTAGTGCCTAGTCTAACCTATAAGGGGGATAAACCCTCCTAGGCACACACTAGTGCCTAGTCTAACCTATAAGGGGGCTAAACCCTCCTAGGCACACACTAGTGCCTAGTCTAACCTATAAGGGGGCTAAACCCTCCTAGGCACACACTAGTGCCTAGTCTAACCTATAAGGGGGATAAATCCTCCTAGGCACACACTAGTGCCTAGTCTAACCTATAAGGGGGCTAAACCCTCCTAGGCACACACTAGTGCCTAGTCTAACCTATAAGGGGGCTAAACCCTCCTAGGCACACACTAGTGCCTAGTCTAACCTATAAGGGGGATAAACCCTCCTAGGCACACACTAGTGCCTAGTCTAACCTATAAGGGGGATAAACCCTCCTAGGCACACACTAGTGCCTAGTCTAACCTACAGTATAAGGGGGCTAAACCCTTTTAGATGTAATTTGCCATAGTCATCTAGGAGAGACCTCACAAATGACAATGATAACAACACGACGTCTACCTCACAAATGACGCTGTCATCTAGGACCAGTTGGACACCAAAGGAAGCTCGACTAGATTTATTACACCCAAACTGGATGCTACAGCTGCTTAGCACACAATTCATTCAATACAATTCACACAAGCATATATATACCTTCCGATTAGGCGGAGTCACCTCCTTGTATGTCTAGTATAAACAATCAGTCTCTGTTGCTGGGCAAGAAGTGAGTCTGTTCCTCCCATTGGTGTTATCGTAACCCAGCCGGAGTCCAGAACCTTCATTGTACACAGTACAAATATGATAAAAATATGAAAATATAAAATATCTTATCTGACGTATTTCCTATTCAACAAAACTGTATGAATAAGGCTTGAAATTACTTATATGCTTTCTAAATATAGTATAATCAAATTATAAAATGACTAACTATAAGATTTCACCTTCCTTATAACTGCAAAATACATATTTGATTTGTCCATATAAGGTCCCACGGTTGACAGTGCATGTCAGAGCAGAAACTACAGTGACTTCGGAAAGTATTCAGACCCCTTGACTTTTTCCACATTTTGTTACGTTACAGCCTTATTCTAAAATGGATGAAATCATTTTTTCCCTCATCAATCTACACACAATACCCCATAATGACAAAGCAATAACAGTTGTTGTTTTTTAGAATTTTTTGCTAATTTATAGAAATATCACATTTACATAAGTATTCAGACCCTTTACTCAGTACTTTGCTGAAGCACCTTTGGCAGCGATTACAGCCTTGAGTCTTCTTGGGTATGACGCTACAAGCTTGGCACACCTGTATTTGGGGAGTTTCTCCCATTATTCTGTGCAGATCCTCTCAAGCTCTGTCAGGTTGGATGGGGAGCATTGCTGCACAGCTATTTTCACCAGAGATGTTCGATCGGGTTTAATTCCGGGCTCTGGCTGGGCCACTCAAGGACATTCAGAGACTTGTCCCGAAGCCACTCCTGCGTTGTCTGGCCTGTGTGCTTAGGATCGTTGTCCTGTTGGAAGGTGAACCTTCTCCCCAGTCTGAGGTCCTGAGCACTTTGGAGCAGAATTTCATCAAGGATCTCTCTGTACTTTGCTCTGTTCATCTTTCCCTTGATCCTGACTAGTCCCCCAGTCCCTGCTGCTGAAAAGCATCCCCACAGCATGATGCTGCCACCACCATGCTTCACCGTAGGGATGGTGCCAGGTTTACTCCAGACTTGACGCTTGGCATTCAGGCCAAAGAGTTCAATCTTGGTTTCATCCGACCAGAGAATCTTGTATCTCATGGTCTGAGAGTTCATTAGGTGACTTTATTAACAAAAATAAATAAAATAAAAGACTAAAATCACCAGGAATTAATCTAAAAATGAATTCCCAGCTATTCCCACAAATAAAACAATATATAACATTTTTCAACTTGAATCAAACTCTGGACATTGGATTTGTATGCGTCAAGACTAGGGGGCCCAAAACGTCATGAACTAAAAAGTATAATAAAACCAATATTGTTTTATATGAGCGAGAGTCACCTATTCCCTGATATTCAGCCTTTTCACTGTCTCTCTCTCTCTGTCTTTCCTCCAGTCACACGTTCTCTGAAGTGCAGGAGCACAGCGACAACTACTGGAAGTTCCAGCGCTACAACCTGATCGTGGAGTACCATTCCAGACCCTGTCTGGCACCACCCTTCATCCTCATCTCCCACCTCCACCTCTTCATCAAGAGACACATCCGCAAGATCCCCTCCATGAAGATCAAACACTTTGGTGAGAGAGGGAGGGAGATGGAGGGAGGGAGTGGAAAGGGAGGGAGGGAGAGAGTGAGTAGGGGAGGGAGAAAGGGAGACAGAGGGAGGAAAACAGGGCCGGCGCCAGAACGAATCAGTTGGACAGGCATTTGATTTCTATAGGGTGGCACGTTTTTTCACCGGACCTCCTATGTATTTATTTTAAAAAATGTATGGGGTTTATAGTAAAGACATGTAATTTAACTGTAAACATGTATTACATTTTAATGTGGCATGAACACAACCAGTCACAATGTTTTCATCAGATTGTCAAACAAATCAATTAAAAAGGTAGGTTAACTTCGCAGGTTCATCCCCAAAAATGTCCAGCATCTGAACAGTGCACTGTGCACCCGCCAACTTTCCTTCAATTCGCAAGTGGCTGGAACTATCTCACCGGAGAAAGCATCAGAGCGAGCGCCCCTCTGTCTGAATATAGCCCATATATCTGATGCTGTCTGGCCAAAAAGAGTATGAGAGTATGACATGTCATACTCTTTTTGGCCAGACAGCATCAGATACATGGACTACACTTACTGAGACAGAGGGGCGCTGTTTCGCTCACTCAGATGCTTTATCTGAGATTGATGCACCTTTCTGTCTTTGCGTGTCTCTGTCAAATACATTATTAATATTTTAATATATTGTTTGGACGGGCAAGGATATGCGGTAGGGACGGGCCACGCCCCCTAAGGGCCACCTATAACACCGGCCCTGGAGGAAGACCAATGATCAGATAATTCACTTAAAGTATTGAACTTCCAAGTATTTTAGAAGTCCACTTCCATTTTTCACATTTTCTCTTCTTCACAATTTCTTTGTTCTTCCCTCTCTTCCCCTCCTCTTCTGTCCCTCCTTCAGTTCTGGAGATCCATGGTAGGGAGGCCAGTAGACTGAACACATGGGAGGCCATCCAGAAGGAAAATATAATGTTTTGCCCAGAACAAACAAGAAAGAGAGACTCAGAGAGACTCAAACGCACCTCCGTCAAGTGAGACATCTCTCCATCTCTCACCTTCGAACTTCAATTCACTTCCTGAATTGACTGAGAAGTGAATTGACCTCTAACCTGTGTTGTGGTCCTGTGTTGTGGTCGTGTATGAAGGATGGATAGTGTCTTAAAGCAGACGGCAGAGATCTGGGTCCACGACCACAGGCTTAGAATGCTGCTCGCATCTCACACACACACACTGCACACACAGGCTGCAAACGCCTGCTTCATCTGCCCAGTGGCAATGAGACAAACGTGCCTGAAGTTTCAGTGGTCTTTAATAGACGGTATGGTTCAACTTTCAAGTTTTGTTAGTCGTATGTACGGTATACGCATGGCACACATCATCCAACGAAATGCTTACTTGCAGGCTCCTTCTTGACAATGCAACAACAGTAAGAACGAGTACAAATAAAATAAGAGTCTGGTAGCAGCAGTTGTGATTTGTGCTAAGATGCGGAGAATCAGAGCAGGTCCATTTCGAGTGTTCAGTAGTCTGATGGTTTGTAGATAGAAACTCTCTCTGAGCCTGTTGGTATCAGACCTCATGCAGGTTTAGTGTATGTGTGTATGTGTGTGTGTCTGTGCACGCACGTGTGTATTCGTAAGTATGTGTGTGTGTGTTTGTGTGTGTGGGGGCATGTTTAACTATACTAGGTCAAATGCTATGTTTAGAGGATTTCGGGTTACGGTTAGAATTAATGTTAGGGTTAGAATTAGGGTTAGGGTTAGGAGCTAGGGTTAGTGTTAGGGTTAGAAGCTAGGGTTAGGTTTACAGTTAAGGTTAAGTTTTCGGGTTAAGGTTAGGTTTTCGGGTTAAGGTTAAGGTAAGGTAAGGGTTAGGTTTAGGGTTAGGGGTTAGAGAAAATAGGATTTTGAATGTGACTGAATTGTGTGTCCCCACAAGGTTAGTAATACAAGACTGTGTATGTGTGTGTGTGTGTGTGTGTGTGTGTGTGGGGGGGTGTGTGTACACACATGATGGGGCCCCCTGGTTTCTCCCTCTGCATTTGGACTGCTGCTGTTGTATCTGCCTGCTCAGCACTGTACAGAGCCCATCCGTCATCGTCACCCCTCTCAACCCCCCCCCCCCCCCCCCCCCCCTCTCTCTCTCGCTCTCTCTTCTGTCCTTCTCCCTCCTTCTCTCCCCCCTCCACTCTCTCTCACATTCCCAGTTGGAGTACTGTTCTAGTGCCCTCTCCTGGATGACGGAGGCTCTGTATGTGTGTGTCTGAATTTGGACTGCAGCTGTTGCATCTGCCTGCTCAGCACTGAACAGACCACATCAGTCATGGTTCTCTCTCTCGCTCTCTCTTTCTCTCTCCGTCTCTCTCACATTCCCAGTTGGAGTACTGTTCTAGTGCCCTCTCCTGGATGACGGAGGCTCTCTCTCAGAGTAACTTGATAAAGACCACACGTCCTCCACCCACTCTCAGAGGTAAGGTTGCATGCAGATATTTGTAATACATACAGTATATATGATATAGGTTACATATATGATCTATTTCTATGTAAGGTTGCCTCCTACCTCCTACCTCCGAAAGACCTTTCCAGTCAAAATTGAAATGTACTTTATTCATCCCCAGTCAATTGTATTACTTGGTTTTATGTACTAATTTCAGTTTCTGTTGTGTTTTCTCTTTCAGATCTGACCCCTTCTCTCTCCATTAGCTGACCAATGTCTGATGGAGAATAGTGAAATCTATACACACACGCACATATCCATATCGATGATGACGAATGTTCCTCTTGTGGATCGGGGGTAGGGGTGTGCTAGCGCTTTTCACACACACACACCTACAATCACTGTCACTCAGGCCCAAATAATGTCAAGAAAGGCCAAAGACGGACTCGATGCTCATTCAGCCATCCTTTCAATGTTGTTTTTCAACTTTGATTATTTGAACCGCTGCCATTTTGTATGTGGACCATTGTTGCTCTTCTATGTTACACTTTGTTGTTCCTATGTTGGTCTAGAACTCTTGTTCCTGTGGGTTATAGAGTGGATGGACAATCTGTTCTCAATGTAATATGTACTAACATTTTTAAGGTGCAATTCAAATTTCTCTTACCCTATAATGACATGACCAAGTACAAACACATTCAACCTGACAAACATAGATTGTTTGAATGTTGCTTTTTGGTTTTACACAACAACAAAAAAATGCTCCACTAAGGGCTAGATTCAATCAGTTCTGGCTTAACCTGCGATAACCGACAACATTGTTTTTATTAAGGCGATGTCGGAGGTGTAACTGCGTTGGAGCTGTCAAATCAGCAAACGCCTCCCGGCATTATAGCTATCACGGACATTGCCATTGGATGTGCAGAGACACAGTAGTAATAATCGCATGCAGCCTTGTTACGAGCCGTCAAATCGGTGAGCAGCTGCTCTTGCAATCATTGTCAAAAAGCCACACCTGCCCCACTCACGTTATAAGTTCAGAAGAAGAGCTGGTAGTGGTGGGCTGGTAGTAGTGAGAAATGGAGTGGGGACCATAAGGCCAAATTCAGTAATCATTGCAGAAAGTTTGCACCTTTTATTTTCCAATCTGAATATAACATAGAATGTTGAACAAAATATTTAATAAAGGGAGGTGCAACAAGTGCAAAAGCTTTCGGTAAATTTGTCCCTGATTGGTTAGGTTTGGCTTCATTTTGGAGGCTTTGCAGATATAGTTTGCAGAGGCTCCTCTCGCTCTCGCTGACCTCTCTCATGGGGAGCAGCTGGAGATGTGGACGAGAGTATTATGAAAGGAGGGAGATAGAGAAAGAGAGAGAGTGAAAAAGAGGGAGAGAGGGTAGTATAGAGTGTCGGGAGGGAGGGAGAGAGGGAGAGAGAGGGGGGGGGGAGAGAGAGAGGGAGAGAGAGAGAGAGAGACTGTATATAAACATAATATGACATTTGAAACATCTTTATGCTTTAGGAACTTTTGTGAGTGTAATGTTTACTGTTAATATTTATTGCTTATTTCACTTTTCTTTACTATCTACTTCACTTGCTTTGGCAATGTTAACATACATTTCCCATGCCAATAAAGCCCTTAAATTGAAATTGAAATTGAATTGAGAGAGAGACAGACAGACAGACAGACAGACGTAGCTCCAGAGTGCTAGGGAAGGTCACATTACACTGACTCTGGGATTGCAGGGTTTTAAATAGAGTGGCTATTTTGGGGGCTACATGTTCAGGCGGGGCGGAGTGGTACCGGGGAGGGGGTGTACTCTGAGGGAAGGTAATGAAAAGGCTATATGGGTTGTGCCTGCAATGCTTGGTAATGTGTGTGTGTAACCAAGGGCTGGCTCATTGCTTGTTCCTACGGTGTTGGAATTGTGAGAGTGGCGGGTTAGTGGGAATTTTTAAAAAAGGTGGGTAAAAACTGAGTGGAACATTTGGTACAAAACGAATTGGCATAGGCATTGACATTGGCAAATAGTTCCCAATTGATAGCTGATATGTCTTCTCTCAACACCTGCCTGTTTGCTTGTCTCACCAACGGTCACTTTCCACTCTCCCACTCACTCCTTCCACTGATATAGTTCTGATATCACCCCTCTCACTCTCTCCTTTGCTATTTCAACTCTTCCTCCTTCCACCTCCCTTCTTTCACGATATATGGTCATCCTGGCCTGAGCCTCCTTCTCCCACCGTCCTCTCTAAAGTTAAACTTGAACATTTGATGACGGCAAAAAAAGCAAGCAATATCTGCCCCTCTCTCTCCCTCCCTTTCTCTCTCTCCCCCTCTCGCTATCTGCCGCTCTTCCCTGTTCATTCCATTTTGGACGGCGCAAGCATGGTCAACGGTGCAGCATTTGCCCCTGTCACTCAGCCTAATTGCCCCCCCCCCCCCCCCCCCTCCTTCTCATCTTACCCCCCCCAGGTTGGTCTCTCTCTTCTCCTGCCCCTACATTAGTGTCGTCTGTGTCGGGTCTGCAACAGGGTCTCTTCGAACTGTGCCATTTTACCGCATTCTTAAACTTTAAAGGGTGGAGTAAACAAACGCTATTTAAGGAGGACAAGAAGGTAACTTTTTTTTTTTTGGAAGGAGAAGGACAAATTCCTTTTCCAGGAGGGATTTGATTTATCATTGTGTTGTGAGGAGTTGAGAACAAGTGTCTGGATTTCTACTTGGAATATCCCCGTTCAACTGGGCATTGCATAGGCCTATTGTGTGCACTTATAACTTTTTCCCATTCCCCACTGCTCTCCCTAGGGTTTGTGTGTGTGTGGGGTGTTTGTGTGTGTGTGGGACAGAAAGGCAACGAACTCTGGGGGTGTCAGTGTGCACGTGCTAAACGATTGCACTGCAAAGGGAGTGATCCCTTGATTTTCTGGTATCATCCCTCACGCTCCTCTTTTATCTATCGTCCCTCACTCTCAACCCTTTGTTCTGAGATTAATCATGGCCTCCTTTAAGACGTGGCTCTTGGGATTGTTCCTAGCCCTTCTCTGCACCTTCCAGACCCCTCTTGCCCCTGGCGTCAAGGCTCAAGACCTGCCGCTGGCCCCCCAACAGGATGTAGTAGCTGATGACGAGGGGGAGCATGCAGCGGAGGTAGGGGGAGATGACGATGATGATGATGATGATGGAGACAGTAAAGAGGATGAGGATGATGACAACGATGACGATGATGATGATGATGATGATAAAGATGACGACGATGACAATGATGATGACGACGATGATGATGACGACGACGATGACGACGACGACGATGATGATGATGACAACGACGATGATGACGACGACGATGATGACGACGACGATGACGACGACGACGATGATGATGATGACGACGACGATGATGATGATGATGATGATGACGACGACGACGACGATGATGACCATGCTCCTGCCGCAGCTAATGATGATGATGATGACGATGATGACGATGATGATGACAACGATGACGATGATGATGATGATGATGATGATGATGATGATGACAACGATGACGATGATGATGATGATGACGATGATGATGATGATGATGATGATGATGATGATGATGACGATGATGACGATGATGACCACGCAGGTAAGTTACGTCCTTTCACTTAAATGATGCTGCATTCTTAATCCACCTTCCCTATCCATCATCTCTGTGTGACCCTAACCCCACTCCTCTCTGAAACTATTTCTGAAGAGAAAGGGAGAGGGGAGGGGCTTAGCCACCTTGGCCACACCCCTCTCCTTACCTCTCCCTGCCCTGCAGAACCTCTCCTTGTCAGTTAGTTCTCAGCTCAGCCTGTCACTCAGTTCAGCTGTCCAATCAGAGTAGATATAAGAAAAGAGACTAGTACACAAGTCCCTCCTTCACCCCTTTCAAGCTGTCCATTACCTTTGCTGTGTCTGACTCTCTCTGTGTTCTCTTCCCTGCTTAAATAGAGTTATGAACACTCTGGGGAAATTGAACTGGCCCGCCTGGAGTCCCAACTGTGTGTCGTCCTTCGTAAAGTACACTAGATTTGAACCTGGGGACTGCAGAAGCATTGTAATGATGAGTTAAAGGAAAAACAATGTATATTTAAAAGTAACACAGAGACTTGATAGAGTCAGTCATCGGATCATAATATAACTCAGATCTTTTGATTTGTGTCTTGTTTGAAATAATTGTTTCTTCTTTTTCACTCCGTCCTTCCTTTCTCACGGTTATGGATTGACCTGTATTTGTGTCTCCTCCATGTTAACCTACAGAGAAAGAAAGAGAGACAGTGATGGAGAAAGGGGCAGCTTGATAGAGACAGACAGACAGACATGTGGAAGGGGTGAGGGGAGGCACATGAGGGCTGAAGAATTCATTAATTTAGTAGCTACGAGTAGTAAGGAGTGGTAATAGTAATAGAGGATCAATAGAGTTTCTCTCTTTCTCCACATCTCTCAATCTCTCTCTTTCTCTGTAGAGCATCCTTCTGTGTCACTGTCTGTTGAATAGTTCCAATGAAATTAATGTATTGTATATGCAACCCTGGTCTATGTTTTCACGTCATCTTTGAATGTATATTAATAACACATCTGTGAATTAATAATTAATTAATAACTAATACATTAATTAGTATTACATTAATGTTTTGTAATACTCACTCAAAATCACTCAAGCGGTTCTCAGACAAATATATTCGTACAACGATAATCATTCATACTGAGAACAGAAACTTCTGTTATTTCTATGGCCATTAGTCATTTGTTACTTTAGAGAGGATAATTGGAATATAAATGATTCTGATAATACATTAATTTGTATAATTGGGTTGAACAGAACTGAAGTGGTATGATACCACTTCAGTTAGATGAATTGTCAGATTTCAGAGATTTATATTGATCTACACCAGATCAAGCCATTTTTGTGTGGGCTACCTCTAGCCTGGTACTCGACGTAAATGTTGATGAGGTTTTTCATATTTTGGAGAAAAAAATAGTATTTGGAAAAAGAGAGAAACATATCTGTTGTAGGTAGCCAACTGGCAAGAGATGACAGTTCCTCCAGGTGTTGCATGAATAGAAGTGTGTTTGAATCTGTTCTTATTTCTATGTGGATTTTGTTTATTTCTTTTTTGTTGACTGTGAAACAACCCCTTTCTGTGAAAACTGTGAGAAAATATCACCTCTGATCATGTCTCTCTAACCCTACTTTCAATCATAGAATAAATCAATTGATCATGATGAGTTGCAT